CTTTTAGGTCTGCTCAGTCCACTACTTAGGAGTCCCTAACCAGGACTAAATAGCTGTTCACTGAGTGCCGACCACTCCATTAACCTAGGAAATCGGGTCAGTACTGGTTGATCAGTGGCCGACGAAAGGTTCGGTTGACTTTCGCCAACTTGCACCACTTATGAGACCTTAATGACACCTTAATATCCGATTGTGTATTAAGGGTCAAGTATACTGCGTTACAGTTCCTTCTGTTCTGCTATATGGCTATAGAGCACGCCCATTAAAGGTAGAGAATATGAAGCTTCAGGTATGTGACAACCGTTGCATAAGCCATGTCGTGGTTTCGCTGCGTTAGTGATATAGAAGTCAGGTGTAGAGTTTTAAGGCGAAGAGGAAAATCAGTTGATGTGGTTGTGAACCTTCATTGACTCAGGTAGCTAAGGCATGTGTTACTCATGCCTAATCATCGTCTTCCTTGTCACACAACGTTAGCTGTAGTAGATTTGGATTTGGAAAAGTCTAAGGTAGGTCAGATTAAAACGTGATATCATTTCATGACGCCTTTGTCTGATTGTGCTAGTCTTATAGAGTAGTGTAGACTTCCCGGTTGGGGTCTGTGTGATAACAGAAACCTGGTGGTTGTGAGACTCTGGGTAACAGCTTAGAATCATTGTCATTGGTGCAAATATATCCACAGGTCGTCCCCATCTTTATCGCCATACCGAATTCAGTATTTCTTTTATCCCCGTTGTCATCTTACGACAACTTTCTACCACGTTGACTGCTTTCTTCTCTATTTTTTTGTCTTTCATCTTAAGGCTTTCTTGCTTGATGTACTGATATTAGGTGGGACAAATTGGATCCTTACGCAGTAATATCTGGTCATATATTGATTTTGTTTGTCTCTGTTTCTGCTCCTAGAATCAGGCTTCAGTGAGCTTAGATTTTCAGTGCTGGGGTTGTGATGTGGAATTCCAGTGTTTGAGGCATTCTTGAGGCATTAATTTAGGTGGCTTGATATGATAGAAGACATGGCTTATAATCGATACCAGCGGTAATCATGCTGCAGTTTTCTTGTTTCTTCTATTTTCGAGAAGTAAAGTGAAAGTAACCTCGCCTAGGTAACTAGTTCACTAGTTACTAGCCGGTCATAAGCCCGGGTAAACACAGAAGGTTGGCCATAGGGCTAGCACAACCCTACCCCGTAAAACTAATTCAACCGCTAAACAAACTTCAAAGCACAGACAAAATATAAAACATAAAATCAAACTTATTCCTCGCTGGAATCGGAGAGACGAAATGACGCCGGTTGGTGAAAGCCCTAGGAAAGCCAATTAGCCGCGCCGATGTGTCTTCTCTCTCTCGATGAAAGCGAAAGTAAGAATGGAGACATGGAATGTCCGCACCATGTATGAACCTACCAAGGCTGCCCAGATTGCAAAAGAGATGAGAAGGTATAACATAGAAGTGTTACGAATTCGCGAAAGCAGATGAAATGGAAGTGGACTCTCCAAACTGTCGACTGGAGAGGAGAGTCAAAAATCTACTCCGACATTGTCACCCAGACGACAACCACAAGCACAGCACACAGAGTTTTCGAGTGGCCATCATGATGTCCCCAAGAGCATCGAAGGCTCTCTCTCATGCAGTGGGAACCAATCTCCTCCAGCATCAGGATCATAACAGCAAGATTCAAATCAAAAAGAAAGTAAAGTCACAAACATAGAATACTATGCTACGCACCTACAAATAATGCAGATCAAGAAGAGAAGAAAGAGGGATTCTACAGACAACTGCAATCAGTAATGGGCAAGACCCCACCCCAGTTGGCGACATCAAAATTCTAATGGGTGAGGTGACATGAATGCCAAACTCGGAGCGGGCAACACAGGAAGAGAACTTATCATGGGTCGGTGAAATGAACGAGAATGGAGAACTGTTTGCATTCAACCATTTGGTGATTGGAGACAGTATATACAAGCACAAGGATATTCACAAAACGAGCGACATGGATTTCACCCGATGGACACACTGAAAATCAGATCAACTTCATTTCAATGTGGAGAAAGTGGAGATGGAGACGCAACCTACTGGACACAAGATGAAGAAGAGGAGAAGATGTAGTTTCAGACCACTGAATATCTAGTACAAGGAACCTACCTTCAAAATCAAGTTGAAAGCCTTCAAAGAAGTTGGTGATAGACCACATTTCAAGTTCAACACCCAGAAACCGAACTAAAGAACGAAACTACAAAGGACATCTTCATGTCAGTCAGTAATCAGAACAAAATGGGAGATATTGAGCAACATCCCTGAAGAATTTTCCATCGAAGAACACTCGAACTCTTTGTAAGCTATTTGGAAAGGAACCTTCACTAAGAAGGAAGAAGAAAGAAGATAAGGAATGCATCTTGACGGATACATGGAAGCTGATGGAGCAGGGGGAGGGGAAGATGGTGAAGCAGAAGATAAATCAGTGAAGGATGCACAACGACAAGAGGAACTGAGTACAACTTATAAAACACTGGACAAAGAAGTGAAGAAGAGTGCTCAGAAAGACAAAAGACACTTCTACGAAACACTGGCAAGTGAAGCAGAACAGGCTGCAGGTAGGGAAGACCTGACAACATTATATGAAATAACCAGATTACTATCTTGGAGGGGAGAGATCAACACAGATGAAATTAATGAAAGATAGTGAAGGAAATTTAATTACCAAAGAAGAGAAACAAAGGAAACGATGGGCTGACCACTTCAAAAAGCTCTTGAATCGACCACCACCTGCAACTCGTCCAGAAATACCACCGGCAGCCTAGTCACAGAACTGTCAGTGAACACAAGCCCTCAGAAAGGCGCAGAAGTGACGTCCTGAACGCCAAAATGCTGCTGGAATCCGCCGGAAGCACTGAAAGCAGACTCAGAAATAACAACGAACACTCTCACACCACTATTGCAGAAGGTTTGGAAGGAAGGAAGGAAAAATACCTGCAGATCGAAAGAAGGGCTACCTTGTCAAACTCCCGAAGAAGGGAGGCCTAAGTCTTCCCAGGAACTGGCAAGGAATCATTCTGCTGTCCACCCCAAGCAAAATATTAAGCCGGATCATCCTGGAGAGACTAAAGGATGCGTTGGATTCAAAATTATGACTGGAACAGGCTGGCTGGCTTCAGGAAAAACAAATCATGTGCGGATCAAATCGCAACACTACGCATCATCATAGAACAGAGTAGAGAATGACAGTCAACTTTCTACCTCAACTTTATCACTTTGAAAAGGCCTTTGACACTGTCGACAGAGAGAGGTAATTTGGAAACTGCTTCAACCCTACAGAGTACCACAAACCTTTATCAACCTCATTCAACAACTATATGAATACGATACATGCCGAATGATCCGTAATGGGAAGCTCAGTGATGCTTTTGAAGTGAAGACAGGAGTAAAACAAGGCTGCATACTATCACCGATGATCTTCCTGATTATGGTCGACTGGACTGGACTGGATCATGCAATAGACAACTGTGAGGAAAGAGAGGATGGGCATACGCTGGTCGGACTGATGAGAAGACCCTAGAAGATTTGGATTTCGCCGATGATTTGTGTCTGATATCGCATAAACTCGAAGATTTACAGGTAAAAATCAACAAGTTGACAGAATAGGCAGCGAAGGAAGTTGAGACTTCAAGTGAACGTAGAGAAGACGGCGGTGATGAAGATACCCAACCAACGACATCAACAACAAGCATCAACCAACATTAACGGGAGAAACCTAAACGAAGTTGTCTCTTTCACCTACCTAAGCAAGGTGGCATCGTTTCAACTATGGGTGGCGACACATGAGGATGTCAAAGCCAGGATCGGAAAAGCAAGATAGGTTTTCATTAATCTGGAGTCTGTGGAGATCTACTGTACTCAGCATAAAAAAGAGGTCCGGATTTTCAACACGAGTGTCAAGTCAGTGATTCTATATGGTTAAGAAACTTGGCGCGTCACAAAATCATTTGCAGCAAACACCTGCGGACATACATCAACAGCTGCCACCTATACTCGATACCGAAGATCAGATGGCCAGAAAGAATAAGAATAAGCAACAAGAAACTCTGGAAACGAACCAACCAAGAACCTATCACCCAACAAATATTCAGGAGAAAGTGGAGATGGTTTGGGCATGCACTGAGAAGACCATCTGGGGACATCAGGCACCAGGCCAGTCTGTTGAGTGGAACGTAAATGGGGAGCGACGAGTTGGGCGTCTGAGGGTGACATGCAGGAGATCATGTGAGGAAGAAATGAAAGCTTGTGGGCAGTGGTGGATCGAGGTTGAAAAGACTGTTGAGAAGAGAGTGAAATGAAGACGTGCTTCTGAAGCCCTATATTCCACTAGGAACCCAAGGGACAAATAATAATAATAATAATAAGGTGAAAGTAGTGAGTGGTTCATTGATGGCATCGTTTGGGACTGCTTCTTCAATAATCCATTTTCACCTTCTTTGCATCCTTTCTTTTTCTCTCGTTTAACGTTTTGATCATTGTGTTGCCATATCATTATTGTGTATGTCAGATATCTTGGTGTCTGTGCTATTTCAGGTCTGTGTTTTATATGTTTCATAGTGACCAGATCAAGACGTAGCATCAGTTCATGAATTCTTGGACTCTTAGTCTCAATCGTCTGACGAGGTGTAGAGTGGAGTCCTCGAGATGATAGTAATCAATGGTTGGAAATCCTTAGTGACATGACTGGAAATGTGTGCTGATGCATTCACTTTTTAACGTCTTTTAAAGTTTAAGTGTTATTACTAACCTTCATTTTTAAAGATTTCTTCTCCTCCCATACACCTTTGCTTACTTTGATATCACTTTCTCTATTCACTTATTCTTTGTATGCTGCTGTGAAGTGTAATAACTTGAACCGACGAACTCAAGTACGAGGACCTACGTTGGTTTGATCTGTGTTTAGGAAGATATTTGCAGTTTATTATCCTTACCATTTTCTCAGTTCTACTTTACGATTCTGGTTTCAGGGGGATGTCAGAAGAAATCGCGCATCTTCGGAGCACTCACTGATGGGTAAGGAATTTTGTGAATGTATACCTTATAGTCACATAAGTTTATATAAAAGCTTTAGACGATCTCTTCACAGCAGTTAAAAACGCCTAGTTACTCATGAAAATATGAAGTATGAATAACGATTAAGTAATATTAGACTTTCCATAGGACTCTTCATTGAATTTCATACAATGCGTCCATGCCATTTAGCGGTTCAGTTTTACTGCACCGGACTAATTACTGCTACCTTGAAGTGGTGATCGGTCTTGTATACCCCAATGACCCAATGAGCTATGATGGTAAAAACATTTGTTCCATTGCAGTACCTTCATACCATAAAGGTCTGTTGGATGCTCATAAAATATAAAACAGTTATCACTACAACGTAAGTAGCTACGCTGTGATGATTGTGACCCAATGTTGTGGTCATACTGCTAGAGATGGTCAACCCTCAAAACAGCACACTCTTTACCTCCTATGGTATTCTAGTACTGACGGTATGGACTTTCTGTCCGAATTTAACACAACCAAAGTAAAATCGCGAAATTCAGAAGGGCCATGAGCCGACCTCAAACAGATGTCCCTTGACCTTTGCGATCACGTACCACTATTCCCATTACAGTTTCTTCTCAAGTATGATATCATTTTACTGTAAGACAACATACAGCCTACGTAAATTGCACCCAATCAGTTGATGGTCAGTGTCCTTAAGTACGATATGTCTTTCACATAATCGTAGTGAATAGGGGTTTTTGCAAGTCTAACAGGTGCCTGTGTCTACTAAAAATTGTCGAGACGTTTGTATACCTGAATAATTGTGGGATTATTGGCAGAGAGGTGTAAATGATGAGATTTCCAACCTTAAATTAAAAATCAGCGTGCTATACGCCGATCCGGGCCAAGTTTAGAGCTGTCTTGACTTTTACCCTGCTTTAAAGGATGAGCGAACCCCATCGGTGCGGGCAGTTCTGCTCTGCACTTGTGAGGATGTCCGACAACGCTGTATTTTCGATCACCGTTATCTCCATATCCTTTACCAGTCTGAATAACTTTACTGTTACCTATCGTTGCCACTCTTTAGCCTTCGCTTCCCACCACACTCAACATTCCTTGAGTTTCGTCATACTGAAACACTGGCTTCTGTAGCTCCGAAAGTTTTAGGCGTATCATCCCAGCTCTCCCAAACCGTTAGTTATATGCCCTACCTGGGACTAACTGTAAGAAGCAGAGAGGTGGCCAGTGTGTGACATGGGATGATGAGCAGTTGTTTTTGATTAGCGTTTGAAGTTGTCTCACGACTCTGCGAATGAGATCTAAGAAGTTGGAAGATTGAAAGAGGGTTCAGGGTGGCCAGATCAAGACCTGACACTAGTCGGTGAAGTTTCTTAGTGTTCGCTTGAGCTGTGTCGGAAGATCTTGACCACCTATCTAGTGTCTTCGAGACGATAGGAATCAGTGGTTGGGGAGGAATCTGTGTGACATGGCTTGAAATTTGTCACGATGGAGCAGATGTTTTCACTCTCTGACGTCTTCTAAAGCTTGAATATTTTGATAACCCTTATCTTCATACCAAGTGATTCACAATGGAAAGCTCAGTAGCGCCTTTAAAGTGAAGACAGTAGTAAGACAATGTTGCCACCTACTATCATCGATGATCTTCCGGATTGCGCTCAACTGGACCGGATCATGCAACAGACAACTGTGAGGAGACAGAAGATGGGCATACGCTGGTTGGACCGATGAGAAGACCCTAGAAGATTTGGATTTCGCTGATGATAATTTATGCCTAGTGTCTCACAAACTGGAAAATCTACAGGCGAGTTGGCAAGTTGGCAGAACAGGCCAGGCGAGGGGAGGCAGCGAAGACAGAACTGAATTTAGGTGAACGTAGAGGAGACACAGGTGATGAAGATACCCAACCATCACCACCAACAACAACAAGCGCCATCAACGGGAGAAATCGAAAGGAAGCTATCTCTTTTACAGACCTACCCACCTAAGCAAGGCAGCATCGTTCCAACTACAGGTGGCGGCGGCGGCGGCGCCACACATGACGATAACAAAGCAGCCATGATAGGAAAGACAACAACACAGGTCTTACTTCATTTATCTGAAATCAGTTTGGAGATCTACTCCACTCCACTCCACTCAGCATAAATCATGAACAACATCCACATTTTAAACACTAATGTCAGCCAAGTCAATGCTTCTATCTGATGGTTCACAGACTTGGTGGCACGTTACGAAAAGCATTTCCAACAAACAACTACACACATGCATCATCAACAGCTGCTGCCACCTACACTCACTCGATACTGACACTGACTGACACTGAAGATCAGATAGATGGTGAGAATCATAAGAATAATCAACAAGGAAGTCACTGTGACTGGCAACGAACCAACCGACCAACAAATATGTATAAGAAAGTGGAGGTGGACTGGATTGGATTGGATTGGATTGGACTGGACTGGACTGGACATACACTGAAAAGACTGTTTGGGGATATCATGCTCCAGGTCAGGTCAGGTCAGGCCAGGCTCTCAAGTGGAACCCAAATGGGAAACGATGAGTTGGGCGTTCCAGCTGAGGGCGACATGGAGATGGTGTGAGGAATAAATGAAAGCTTCTGGGCAGTGGTGGAGCCAGGTTGAAAGACTGCAGAGAAGAGAGTGGAATCGCGACGTGCTACTTAAGCCCTATGTTCCACTGGGAACCCAAGGGACAAATATTAATAAACATCTTCAAATTGTTTGTCCTCTCACACAACTTCATCTACTTTGATATCACTCTTATTCTATGCACCTGTTGTTTGTACACTTCTGTGAAGTGTGGCAACTTTAAGCCATAGACTTATGTGCGAGGTGCTCGGTTGATTTTTTCTTTCTTTATATGCCTGTCTCACTGTCAAGTAGTTTAAATCTGTTTATATAAGGAACTGACTTTCAACCATTGAGTCGCGGGCTCGGACATCGCTCCATCTGTGGAAGTTCGAGCAGTCAGGTAGTATCACTAACCTCCACAAAATATACGTGACTGCTTGCCTACTGCACGTTTGTAATCAAGGTTATTGAGTCAATTTCGTTCTATTTGTCACCAAAGTTGGTCAAATATCAACTAGAAAGGGATAAGCAATCAAGCATCTCCAATCAGTAGTTGGTTTTTTTCTCCAGAAGTATTAAAACTACCAGCTTGCAATCTATTGGTCACTGATTATTTTTGATGGGTTAAGCTGAGCACTGTGTTTATTCTTCTCATTTTTAACTCATTCATTTTGCATTGCTGTTCATAACTTTAAACACCGGTGAAATGGTGGAGAATATTTATAGCTCAGATGGATGGTCTTGTTTGTATTGTATTCGCTGAGCTGGGTTGTTTAATCGTGGAGCTTTCATCGTCTTTCTAGACAACATCAACATTAACTTCAGCATGAAGTATGAGCCGTCAATATCTCTCCGTGAGTGCTTTAGTAGCTTGCCCTGACGAACTGGTTTGTGATTGGTTATTTCCTTTGATTGTTGTGTCATTGACTGACTGTATAGATTTTCCTGTTGGCTGTTCTTCTGCTTGAATTCTAACCTTTCTGTCGTTTGTCGTTTTTCTCATTGGTTGATAAATTGGGTCTATGTTTATACATCTATTGACTGCTAACTGACTGACCTGAATGCCAAGCTTCTAGGAATTCTCTGATATGCTTTGCTTCCTCTCTCCTTTCAAGATTTCTACATTGTCGAAATTGAATTCATATCCATAGTTGTTACCCACGTGCACTGAAATGGATGATGGAATGCCGTGACGTTTAATAACCAATTGATGCTCAGATAGATGAAGGCGAAAAGGGGGACCATTTTGTCCAATGTAGTGTTGACTACAGTTAATAGAGTTAATTTTGTAAATGATTTTCGGTTTGCCTTCTTTGATTGTTGCGTCCTTTGATCTGCATCATAGTGTTTGGAGGGAATTTGTTGGTTTACGAGCCATACCAATTCCATCAAGTGGTCTCAGTAATCTTGTCGTGATTTCTGATATATTCTTTATGTACCGTAGGATGATGTGTTTGTTGATTTCTGTCGATGACTTTGTAGTTGATGATGTAGGGGATAGGCATCTTCCAATAAAGTTTCGTGGGTGGTCGTTCTTCTCTAGAATACACATTAAGTAATTTTCTTCGTTTCTCCGTGAAGTTGTTGTACTGAAGTGTGTTCTCGCTCTTTTGGATAGAATCTGCATGCAACTAATTTTGTGCTTTGTTGGGTTGTTGCTACTGTAGTTGAGGATTTGTTCGGTGTGTGTTGGTCTCCTGTACACTTAGGTTTCCAGCTCTCCGGCGTTTGTCCTACTGATTAACACATCGAGGAATGGTAGTTGGTTATTTGACTCCTTCTCCATTGTGAATTTGATGTCACTGAAAACGTTGTTGATCAAACTGTGGGTGTTTTCTATATCATCTTTTTTAATGATGATAAAAGTATCGTCTAGATATCGAATCCAAATTTTTGGTTTATTCACAAGAGAATGATGGCTTCCAGTTTCTGCATCACTGCTTCTGCAATTAGTCCGGATATCTATGACCCCATTGGAGTTCCTTTTATCTGTTTGTATATTTTGCCATTGAATTGGAAGTATGTTGTCATACAAAGGTCGATGAGTTCCATCAGACATTGGACATTTAAGTTTTGTGCGTTCTGTAAGGTTTGTGTCTTCATTGAGCAGGAGGTTCGATGGATGTGTATAGTTCTGTGACATCGAAGGATACCATTAATTCGTCATCATCATCATCATTATCAACATAGGACCAGGCATTACTGCGTAACGGTCCGAGTTGCCACACCTCATATCAGCACATCAAGTAAAAAGGTAGTGAGGTGAAGGATGAAGATAAGTGAATGCAGTCAAAAGAAATATAAAGTATGAGAAGAAAGGAAAGAGGAGTGACAAAATAGTGAGATTCGGTATAGCGTTGTTAAGATGAGGATAATGTGTGTATACATCTGCGCCACTGACTTCGGTTCTGAGCCATATCACCATTAATTCGTCGTTTTCTATGTTAATGCTTTTGATCTTTTTTAAGAATTCCGTTGATGACTTGATGGAATGTTTGCATGATTGAACAATGTGTTTCAGTTTTCTTGAAAGTTCTCTTGATGTGTTGCATATTGGAGTTTTTGAAAGTGAGACTTTTGGTGGTAGAGAGGGATGTCTGGTTTGTGTAATTTTGGTCTACTATAGAACCGAGGAAGGATAAGTCCTTTCGATTTCATCCGCCTTTTCGTCTTATTTGATTATTTCTTCTGCTTTGAAGAGTTTGTTCATGGTTTTATTAATCAGATTATCGAACTTTTGGATAGGATTGATTTCATATAGTTAAACATTTGTCTTTATTCTTCATCTACCAGATGACAAGAATTGCTCCAATCCACAAATATGTCAAGTTGTTGATGATAATCATTTGGATAATTGTTTGACAACCGAAATTACATCGTTATATTCACCCTCAAATATTATTTTCCAACAACCTCTTGATTTTTCACCATCCAAAACTATTCATACTATTCCAAACGATACATCTCAAATTATTCCTGAATATCAATTATCTAAAAGTTTCATAGAAGAGGATAATAATTTTGTCACAGAGATAGAATTGATCAGTCTTACTGGTCAACGTGAATCAATTCCACATTATCGTCTACGAGTTGATCCGTGTACAGCTTTCATAGGTTATAAAAATAGAGATTTTCGTTCAGCTAAACGAATTACACGTCATTACGCTAACAAGTATCCTTTACCGAAATCGATTACTGAATTGACTACAATTGAAGACATTAGATCAGAATCAACTGAAACCTTTAATAAAACTATAGAATATCATTCAGAAGAAGATCATTCTGAAGGAGTAGAAGACGAAGACGACGATACTCTTAGTTTAACATCAGAACAAATTGAAAATACATTGGATTATTTCAGTAAGTAGATCTTTATTTTCTCTCATTAACTGATGTATCAACAATGGTCTGTTTGTAATGTTGTTACTTTTATTATCCTGTTGTTGAGTGAACTAAATTCATGGGTTCACGATTAGCATATAGACTCCTTCACATATACCTCGATATTCCCTACTTTTTATCATTCATTATTTGTCCCTTGGGTTCCTAATGGAACATAGAGCTTAAGTAGCATGTATCCAGTGCACTCTCTCTTCTGCAATCTTTTGAACCTGGCTCCACGACAGCCCAGAAGCTCTCATTTATTCCTCACACCATCTCCTCCATGCCACCCTCAGCTGGGACGCCCAACTCGTCCTTTCCCATCTGGGTTCCACTCAGCGGCCTGACCTGTCGCGTGATGTCCCCAGTCGGCCTTCTCAATGTATGCCCAATCCATCTTCACTCCCCTCCAGTGCATATTTGTTGGTTGGTTCGTTGCCAGTCAGCCGTAGTTCCTTGTTGCTTATTGTTTCCGGCCATCTGAGCTTCAGTAATGAGCCAGCGTAGGCGGCAGTTGTTGATGAATGTGTGTAGTTTGTTGGGAATGCCTTTCGTAACGCGCCAAGTCTCTGAGCCATACAGAAGCACTGACTTGACTGAATTGGTGTTGAAAATCCGGATGTTGTTCACGTTGTAGGCTGAGTGCGAAAGATCTGCACACTGGTTTCATGTTGATGAACGCCTGTCTTGCTTTTCCGATCCTGACTTTGACATCCTCGTCTGTGCCGCTGCCTGTAGTTGAAACAGTGCTTCCTAGATAAGTGAAGGAGGCTACTTCCTTTGTTTTTCCCATTGATGTTGGTTGGAGCTTGTTGTTGTTGCTGGTGTTGGCTGGGTATCTTCATCACCTCTGTCTTCTGTATATTCACCTGAAGTCCCGTCTTCGCTGCCTCTTCTGCCAACTTGTTAGTTTTCGCCCTTAGATATTCAAGTGTGTGTGACATTAGACGTAAGCCATCGGCAAAATCCAAATCTTCTAGGTTCTTTTCCCCTGTCCAGCCAACGTATCCCCCTCTTTCGCTCGTCACTGCTTGTTGCATGATCCAGCCCACTACAATCAGGAATATCATGGGTGATGGTAGGCAGCCTTGTTTTACTCCTGCCTCCACTTCAAAAGCATCACCGAGCTTTCCATTGTGAATTACTTGGCTGGCATGTGGCGTCTTCATATAGTTGTTGAATGAGATTGATAAAGGTTTGTGGTATTCCGTAGTGTTGAAGCAACTGCCAAATTACTTATCGGTTGACGTTGTCGAAGGCCTTTTCAAAGTCGATGAAGCTGAGGTTGAGTTGAGTTGACTGCCATTCTATCCTTTGTACTATGATGATGCGTAGTGTAGGGTTGCAATTTGGTCGGCACATGATTTGTACTCCCTGAAGACAGCCAGTCCGTTCCGGTTGTAGTTTGAATCCAACGCATCCTCTAGTCTCTCCAGGATGATACGGCTTAATATTTTGCTTGCTTTGGGTGGACAGGAGTGGGGCATGATTCCACGCCAGTTCTTGCAAACACTGAGGTCTCCCTTCTTCGAGAGTTTGACAAGGTAACCCATCTTCCAATCAATGTGCAGACACCTTCCCTTCCTTCCAGACCTTCTGCAATATTGGTGTGAGCATGTCCACCGCTGTTGTCTCTGCGTCTGTTCTCAGTGCTTCTTGTGGGATTCCATCTGGTCCTGCTGCTTTCCCGCATTTCAGTAGCTTTTTGGCGTTTAGGACTTCACTTTTGTTGGAGGATTTATGTTCACTTTTAGTTCAGTGGCTGCAGGTGGTATTTCCGGACGAAGTGCAGGTGGTGGTGGTGGTCGATTGAAGAGCTTCTTGAAGTGGTCAGCCCATCGTTTCCTTTGTTTCTCTTCTTTCGTAATTAAATTTCCTCCACTATCTTTCATTGGTTTCATTTGTGTTGATCTCTCTCCTCCGAAATAGTCACCTGGTTATTCGATACAATGTTGTCAGACCTCTGTCTCTCCTACCATCAGCCAGCAGCCTGTTCTGCTTCACTTGCCAGTGTTTCGTAGAAGTGTCTTTTGTCTTTCCGAGCACTCTTCCTCACTTCTTTCTCCAGTGTTTTGTACCTTGTACTCAGTCCCTCTTGTCGTTGTGCATCCTTCACTGATTTATCTTCTGCTTCACCATCTTCCCCTCCCCCTGCTCCATCAGCTTCCATGTATCCGTCAAGATGCATTCCTTATCTTCTTTCTTCTTCCTTCTTAGTGAAGGTTCCTTTCCAAATAGCTTACAAAGAGTTCGAGTGTTCTTCGATGGAAAATTCTTCAGGGATGTTGCTCAATATCTCCCATTTTGTTCTGATTACTGACTGACATGAAGATGTCCTTTGTAGTTTCGTTCTTTAGTTCGGTTTCTGGGTGTTGAACTTGAAATGTGGTCTATCACCAACTTCTTTGAAGGCTTTCAACTTGATTTTGAAGGTAGGTTCCTTGTACTAGATATTCAGTGGTCTGAAACTACATCTTCTCCTCTTCTTCATCTTGTGTCCAGTAGGTTGCGTCTCCATCTCCACTTTCTCCACATTGAAATGAAGTTGATCTGATTTTCAGTGTGTCCATCGGGTGAAATCCATGTCGCTCGTTTTGTGAATATCCTTGTGCTTGTATATACTGTCTCCAATCACCAAATGGTTGAATGCGCAGAATGGGTTGAATGCAAACAGTTCTCCATTCTCGTTCATTTCACCGACCCATGATAAGTTCTCTTCCTGTGTTGCCCGCTCCGAGTTTGGCATTCATGTCACCTCACCCATTAGAATTTTGATGTCGCCAACTGGGGTGGGGTCTTGCCCATTACTGATTGCAGTTGTCTGTAGAATCCCTCTTTCTTCTCTTCTTGATCTGCATTATTTGTAGGTGCGTAGCATAGTATTCTATGTTTGTGACTTTACTTTCTTTTTGATTTGAATCTTGCTGTTATGATCCTGATGCTGGAGGAGATTGGTTCCCACTGCATGAGAGAGAGCCTTCGATGCTCTTGGGGACATCATGATGGCCACTCGAAAACTCTGTGTGCTGTGCTTGTGGTTGTCGTCTGGGTGACAATGTCGGAGTAGATTTTTGACTCTCCTCTCCAGTCGACAGTTTGGAGAGTCCACTTCCATTTCATCTGCTTTCGCGAATTCGTAACACTTCTATGTTATACCTTCTCATCTCTTTTGCAATCTGGGCAGCCTTGGTAGGTTCATACATGGTGCGGACATTCTATGTTTCCATTCTTACTTTCGCTTTCATCGAGAGAGAGAAGACACATCGGCGCGGCTAATTGGCTTTCCTAGGGCTTTCACCAACCGGCGTCATTTCGTCTCTCCGATTCCAGCGAGGAATAAGTTTGATTTTATGTTTTATATTTTGTCTGTGCTTTGAAGTTTGTTTAGCGGTTGAATTAGTTTTACGGGGTAGGGTTGTGCTAGCCCTATGGCCAACCTTCTGTGTTTACCCGGGCTTATGACCGGCTAGTAACTAGTGAACTAGTTAACCAGTCGAGGTTGGATATTCCTTACACCTGAATTATATCATTTGGCTATCTGAGATAGTCATGGTTTGGCAGACTAGTATTTATACTGGGTGAGTGATTGAAAGTGAAATGAAAGTTTGAACCGCGGCTGGATTTGAATCAGTGACTACCGGGTTTCCTGCCCGATGCTCTACCAGCTACGGTCCAAATTTGAACCTCGTAACTCTGTAGTTGGTAAAAGATTGGGCCGGAAAACTGATGGACGCTGATTTGAATCCGGCCGCAGTTCAAATTTTCATTTCACCTTCAGTTATCACTTGAATTATGTATTAATGATGGGTAGTGGCTAGAAGTGGAATCCAAGACGCGCGTTTCATCTTATTTGGGACTGCCTAGATTCCACTGCTAGCCACCATGCATCATTAATATATATAGTTCAGACACAGGCAATATCGGGGCATCCACGCAGGAGCCCGTTTGCCAACAGAGATCCATCAATATGAGAAAAAACATTAAAAATTACACCAGTTGCACAAACAGCAGCTATCGTGGATCGGTGGTCTGGTGGACAAGGCTGTGGCGTTTGGAGTGATCGGCTCCGGGTTCGAGTCCCGCCGGGAACGACGTCACTCACTTGAGGCAGGTACATGTAGTTGGCGAGTCCGAATATAGGACGAAATACGCATTCCACTCCGAACCACCATCCATCACTAATAAATGATTTGTTTTTTGTTAAATAAATGCAACTGAATATATATCCATTAATTCAACAGCTGACTTTATTGGAATTGATTGATATCGAGAGTATTCATCACGCGGGATCGAGGCGATGATCGTCAGGTTTCTCTGATAGCACACTTCCACTCACCCTGTGTATCGGAATCCAATGGTTTAATACCTTATTTCTATCATTTCATGAGATAGTGCGATCGTCATTCAATACGATAGGTGAGTATTTGTCCTCACATCCAACTTGGCTACCGGCCGGTAGCTGCTACCTTGTCTTGGAGGTCGGTGTTGTATATTATGATGACTCAACAATCTACGCTGGCTAGAACGCTTGTTCTCTCGTGGTCCTAATATAACAGAAAACTCCGTTTGATAGTGGTAACACTATAGAAAGTTACCGTTGTCGTGTACATTGTTACACTATTCTGGGAGTCGGAGGTCGAAGTCGTACTGCTGGTAGCTGGATGAGGTGTGACAACGGTGAGGTGTTCCCCCTTGGATGACCAGCATTGCCATGCCGATGCTGCCTTTTCTATGGAAAGATAGTGGGTTGAAAATTGTTGCCCCCAACAATTGCGCACTCCTCCCTGCCCCACGGCCTTCCGGTGCCGATGGTATGCGTTTCTTTATCAAGAGTTAGAACAATCACATCTCACCAACAATGCTCGAAAGGATGTCTGTTACAGGCCTTTTCATTTGGTTGTTTGTTCAAACTAAGTGATTTCAAGGCGCTCTCAGGTTTTCAATGGTTCATGAGTGTCCCCAGTAACTTCGTAGGAAAT